GCTGTCACTCTTCAATGGCAGCACTATTCTGTGACGTTATTCAGAAGCCATACTTTGAACGTTATAATCTGACGGAATTAACCCCTTATTTCCATTACGCAATCGAAGCTTTAAATGCCAAATCTGTTGAAGGATTACGCAAAATTACGGCGATTGCTTTTCTCAAAGAATTTGTTCACAAATTTTGGAATACCTTGAAACGGGATAACATGTTGAAACCGGTTGAATTTAATTTCAAAGGTTTTAATGTTGAAATTATTGAATTAATTGACAAAATAAATGAAAGTATGAGATTATCTTGTAGATTAATTTATTCATTAAAGATTTATTTTCTACGAGATCTACGCAATAGGGAATATTCAATGAGTGATGTCAACAAATTTTGCCAAGCCCAAAGTTCTACTTTACCATGGCTGAAAACTTTGCGTTGGGATAATAATCAAGAATCTCGATTACAATTTAATATTTACTATTCCTTTAAGGATTATATTGATGTGGAAAGTTGCTTTAAAATACTTTTTTATGATTTTAATAATGTAGAACGATTTAATAAATTCTTTAAAAAAGTTACAAATAAGGAAGAGACGAGTGCCAGGATTTCATTGATGGGAGGTATCCTTAATCGACTTCATGCTATAATAGCAACGAGAAAATGGAATCATGACGAGATTCAAGCAGCAAAATTTTTAAATGATGAAATCATGAAAATCAACTCTTTATCCAATATTTATAAGATAATTATTAAAAAAATAATCACAAACAAAAATTCAATAATGCAACTTGATATGAACATCAGTAACTCGGATTTATTAATTAAATCGGTCATTGGGCACGTTATAGCATTGCACTCGTCTATTCCAGCGGAGTCGTCACCATTAGCATACTTATTACATAATTTGAGTGATTGTAGTGGTTTGTATATTCTCGCTTGTCCATCAGATATACAATCTGTTATATTGAGTGCTGTCTTACAGCAGAACGGTAAATTTACGCGGTAAGAAATTTTTATAAATTTTCATATATATAAATTTTTTTTTTACAAAAAAATAAAACTAGATTGATTTTGTTTTTTTTCCAAAAAAAAAAAGATATAGATGTAAATGTGGTTTTATTTATCTAATCGGTGATTGTGGACAGGCCAATGGGCGAGGTACATGCCCCGAGTGTCATAATTCTATTGGTGGTGAAGATCACGTCTCTTGCTCCGGAAATGAGAGATTAGACGCAAGTCCAATTACTAAAGCCATGAACGCAAAAGACGAAAAAGGGTATATAGGGGAAGAAATAAATAAGGACATCAATCACAATCTTCGCAGTTTATCTCCTATTTCATATAGAATTCTTCATTTGTTTGTTCATTCTATAATTGGAGCTTGGGCACCTTCCAGTATTGCAACTAAATTTTTACACAAAAACGCAAACGATAGCGTGGAATATTGCATGGGACATATTAGGAATGATTGGGGAATTCTTTTAAATCTTTTGGATTGCTCTGAAGAGAATTTGGCTCTCTCATTACATGCAATCCTTGACAGAATGTTTCTAATTCCTCCCAGAAATACAATCTTAAAGACACCTAAACAGCGTGAGGAATGGGAGAAAATTTTCACGCGAGACTATGTTTTTCTATTTAAGAAAATTTCAAACACGGCGGCTGAATTTCGTGTTAAAATCACTCAACAAGAAAATTTGAGCGTAATCGAGGAAGAAATTAATCAAACAATACCTATGGATGAGAGTTTCATACTTGAACGTTTACCAAGGCTTTGGAGATTTATAGGAACAACAAGTTTTCAAGGGCTTCGTGCTTATTACAATTCCGATCTAGAGAAACATGAATCCTGTTTTCCTTTTATTTCAGTGTTCTTTAGGTATTATGATAAATTAGAAAAGGTAAAACACCTTTGGCCGATAGTGAATTTCGTTCAAATGACATCATCGCGTCTTGAATATCGCGTGAGTCGAGAAAAAGCACGAGAGCAAACCTTTGAGCAATTTGTAAATGAAGAGTCTAATAGTGGTGAATCAGTAGAAAGATGTTTCAATGAATTTGCTAATGCTTGGAATTCGGTCATTGATGATGTGGATCAATTTCAATGTCACGAGCTTCAAAAACCAAAACCGATTATAAATTTGACATCTCCTATCGTACTTGCTTTAGTCGAGCCAAGGGACTCGGGTGTATATCTTTGCGCTATTTTGGAATATTTGGTTGGATTACAAAATAACTTCTTACAAGAAGTATTGACAATTCCTATAGGATCTACACGTGCACTAAAATTCTTGGAAGAACCTTATTCTATTCCGGACAATACCGTTTCATCATCATCTTCAAGAACATATGGTGCTAATTCTACAGATAGCCCTACTCGTTACCACCTTCAATCTCTTAGAATTGATCAAATTAAACAAAGCAATTTTATAAGTTACAAATGGGATGATAACATTCTCCAAAATAGTTATCGTAATCTTGAAGTTGGACGCGGTCAGGATATCATTTATGATTTGCAAAAAATCGAGATGGAACTCGCACGTGGATTAGTTTATGAAAAAGTTCATATAAGCACTTTGAATGATTCACAAGCGTACATGGAACCTTTCCCCTATCATATGGAATTATTTCAAGGATACATGAGAATTCTTGGTGACATCAAATCTTCAATTCTTCAACAGAAAATTCCATCTGATAAGATTCCTCTAATCATGGACGTGATACCAACTAGCTTTTCACACGCGGAATACATGTATCATAATATTTATTCATTATCTTTTAATAACGCGTCTGAGCTTCTTACTTCATTAGAAATTTTGCTCTGTTTCGTAAAACGTACATCGATTGGAAGTGAGGAGACAACCATTCGTGATTATGTAAATCAATGGATGAAATTGTCTGAATTATTAAAATACAAATCCTTTAATAATTTGTTAAATACCGGATTATGTCTCAAACACTTGATAGATTTATATGAATTAATTGAAGAGCAGGTTGCAAATTCCGTGGTAAAATATATTGATGACAAATTTAAAATTGACCTTTCAGTAGAAATGAAGGACGAAATTGATTCGGCAGTTGAATTTGAACGAACTTCAACGTCAAAAGAACGTATACCAGCAGAAGTATTCGCACTTGCATTGAAAAGATTTATGCTAAGATTTTTGAAGGATATTAGTAATGATCAACTTCCATTAAGCTATTATATAAATGATGAAGGACTTAATTTGTGGCCAGCCGAAATTTCAGATGAGCTATTAGAAAAATTTCCGGAGTCCTTATTAATATGTCACATTTATACGGCTTATGAATATGTTTGCTCGAAAAATTCGATCAAAAGATTTTAAAAAAAATTTTTTTTTATTTTATTTTCGAAATTAAAATATTGAACTTTTTGGAATATTAGTTTACCAGTAAACAAAATCAATTATAATTTTTTATGTTTATCAAAATGATTCGCCATGAATTAATACGTTATGCTAAGGAATTCCATAAAGAAATCGTAATCGATGACATTTATCAGCCAAAAATTACATTTGGAGATTTTGATCTTGTCATATGGTAAAACTATCTTTGGATAGAATTACGAAATTCCGATTAATATTCATGTTAAAACGGCTGAATTGTTGGTTTAGTATATCGTTCCAAAAGTACTTTCGTTACAATAATATTGGAGCATGTAATGAAATAATGAAATACCTTACAATATCGTTTAAGAAAGTATTCACCTTGTTGAATCTCGATTTTTTTGTTGAAACTTTGGTCCAGTTAACACAGACCGAAATTAATCAAACGTTGCATTTTTGAAGATCAAGATATCCATTCATTCAGTGGCCCTGCCCATTACGCATTCCTTTAACTTCAAAATTATCGAGAATCGCACCTAAAATCACAGTTATATTTATATATTTTTCTTAATATATTCTTGCTTCAAATAAATCCTACTAAAATAAATACTTTTCTTTAAATGTTATAAAAAAAGGAACATAACTCTTTCTAATTACCAATTGATCCTGCAAAGAACAAATTTAATGTACTTTCCAATTATTTATTTATTTTGAGGCGTTTAGTACTATAATTTTGTTACATAAAGATGAAATCCTTTGGATATTATTACACAAAAAATAAATTTAGTGGTTATAATAATTAGGACAATAGAAACTTTCGTGCCTTAGAATATTTCTTAAACGTAAGGAGGTATACTTCAAATGTTTCTTACTACTTTTCATAATCGAAGATTACAAATTAAATGTTCATAAAGCATTTTAATTTGTGGCGCAGAGATTTATTTGAGAAAAAAATATTGCTAAAAATATTTATTAGGCATTGTTTCCGGGTTTGGTTAGTCCAAATGATCAAATCTTTGAAAATTTTCGATTTTAGGTATAAAAAATGAAAGAATCGCATGTTCGTGACATCGTGACATTTGATTGGTATATAGATCAAGTAAAACCTAAACCTTTATATCGTTTATTATTAATAATAAACATGAAAAGCTTATAGCATAACTTGCAATTACTGCACCATTAATCATGGATTCCAAGTTAAATATTATTAGTACGAGTACCAAAAATATCGGTTGCAATGATCGTACCTAATTTTAAGGGGAGGATCTAAAGTTTTCCAATTAATCGCTTTTTTTTAACGTCATATTTATTATTTAAGCGTGGCGTTTATGAATTTGTATCAAACATTTATTAAATAATTTTAACAAATTTTGATAAAAACATTATTATATTATGGAATTACAAAAAACAAATAAATAAATAAATAATCGTATAAGATATCGGTATTGCTATAGAAGGAGAAGATTTTCTTTGATCTCTCTTTTTTGATATTCCGATGATATTTTTTTTTTAGTACATTTGTAGTAACGATCAGGGAAATCAAAATTGGTGCGACATTATTTATTCGGTCTTATATCCGAAAACTGATCAGAAAAAAATATAAAAGGACGCGAAATACAAAGAAATATTAATTATTTATTTAGTAAATAATAAATAAAATCATGTTCATTATCTTACTTAAAGAAATCTTCACCATATTAAAGTTCCTTCTCGTAATTGACATCCTGAGATTTTATTTCAAGTATGTCACTCGACAAAGCCCGTTACCTGGACCATTCCCTTTACCGTATATAGGAAACGCCTTACAAATTCTTTACATGAATTTCAAGGAGGGAAATTATCAATTCGATCTGGGGGAGTACGCAAGAATGCAAGTCGAGAAATACGGACATATTTCAGAAGTATATCAAGGAAGTACTAGAGTGATTTACTTAAGTAAAGCGGAATACTTGGAGAAAGTTTATGTGCCCAATTCTAATTCGAATTATTTTGCCAGACCGGATTTAAACGGTGTGAGTGAAGTGAACGCTGTACACGGTTTATTTTTTAATAATGATTTTAAAAGTTGGAAGAGGATTAGAAAATTCGTTTCCCAATCTTTAATGTCACCAAGATTTATACGTGAATTTACGAGCACCATACAACAATTGTTTGAAGAGAGTGAACATGATTGGAAAAATAACGACGAAGAGGTCATTTTTAATATATCAGAATGGTCCAAATGCTTTACTACCGATATGAATATGGCAACTTTAATGGGACGACAGACTCTTTGTCTGGCGTCACTTAAATTGGACGAATCTGAATGGACAAATGAAATGAAAGATTCCAGGAAAGTGAAAAAGAGTGTCGAATTATTCCTTAAATCTATAGCTTTTTTCACTTCCTTTCCTAAATTCCTTAGGCATCATTTCCCTATTTTCAATTATTATCAAAATTATTTTATGAATAGTTTGAACTTTCTTAAAGATTTTATACACGCTAGAATAATGGAACGTAGAGAACAAATCGATCGATTGCAAGAGAATGAAATGATTGGATCTAGTTTATTGGATATTCTCTTAACAACTAATACGTCTAGGGATATGCATGATGATGACTCGGATCAACCTCTTACCGATTTAGAAATTCGTGATAAGATCGTAGATTTATCAATTGCTGGATCTGACTCGGTATGCGATCTTCTAAACGTATTATTACGTTATATTTTCTTTTTCACTATCATAAAATTAAAAAAAAAAAAACTATTTTTCTTTTTCACAGTCATCAAATTTATTTATTCTTGCATTCTGGATGATCCACATTCATCCCGAAGTGAAAGTACGTTTACTTGAGGAGATTAAATCCATATTTGGAAATCTATTGAACCGTCGTATAACCAATGAAGATCTAGACAATTTAAAATATTTGGATGCGGTAATCAAAGAAACAAATCGCATCCAACCTATTGTGCCAGTAAGCGGTAGAGACCTCTCCACTTCATCTGACACGATCGCAGGATATAAATTCGACTCTCGTGCGTCATTCTTTATAAATAATTTATATATTCATCGACACGAAGATTATTGGAGGGAACCTAATAAGTTTATGCCGGAAAGATTTCTAAACGATAAAATTGTAAAAAATAGTTACGTTCCTTTTGGAGGTGGAATTCGTATTTGTCCTGGGAAATTATCGGCCATGACACAGATTAAAACGTTGCTTATTTTATTCCTTATGAAATATAATGTTGAATTGGTTGATAAAGAGACTCCTTTGCAACGTATTTATGCCGGACTTAACCTTTATCCTTGTTTAATGGTTAGACTATCCCCAAAACACGAATCACCTGAACTTTAAATGGTGGTCCATCTAATCTATCAGTATTTTTAATTTGGGGAATAATGTCCGATATGAAGGTGAAAATATAATTATCGGGTTCTCCGAATTTTCCCTTTTTTAGATGATTTTGCGATCTGCTTAACATTTTTGGTCTTTCCGGATTTTCATTTACAAAAAAAAAACGCGCATGATTAATGACCAATTAACGAATAGAAATAATTAGGTTCCAAACTGGTTTTAAATTGGACATATAACTTATATGTCTAAATCGAACAAATTTAATAATAGAAAAAGTCTAATAGCTTATCTGTAATAAATAAATCTTGTTAAAAAAATTGTTATAATAAATTTTATGAATAATTTTTAAAAGGAAAAGTGAAATTTGAAATAATGAGACCGTTAATTTGGGACCCGTCCTAAATTTCATTTTTTGAATCCTAATAATTTATTTTTAATGCCAGTAAAATAAAAATCTTTTCTAAAATTGGCAATTTTATTAGGACTTTTAGGATCGTTTAAGGACCACTTGATCGAAATGAAAAAATATGTAAAATAAAAGTCTTTTCCAAAAGTAGTAGATTTCTTCGTATAAGAGAGAATATTAATATTTAATATGCCTGTAACTATGGTAAAGAAGATAATGACAATATGACAATAATGACAATAATGACGATAAACTGACTACGAAGCAGCTTCTCTCAAATTTTTTTTTTTTTTAAAAAAAAAAAAAAAAAAAAAGGAAATTAGTGAGAGAAAATTTAAATAGCGTTCTTCCTTTTTGCTGACAAACACTCCCAAGGACGACAATGACGATAAAAAATAAAGAGAGAACAATACTAAAAAGGTTTATTCTTACAATGTAATGAAACAATTTTTGACATTCTTGCAAAGCCGTAATGACGACAACTTACGAAAACACGTGAATGGTCCATTGTTTTATATAAAACAGCATCTTTTCGACTCCTTAGAAGAAAAACGGATAACGATGATATAATCCATCGGGACTCATTGGAGATGATATTCAACTACAGATTCGGAAAAGTGAAAAGAATCAAGATAAAATACGAGGGGCCGTTAGATCTGGCCTACAATTAACTAAGCGTGGGAATACCACTTTTTTCTGTATTGCTACTTTTGTTTCCAACTCGGTGGTAATTTGTAGTATATAAAGCAATATTTTCTAAAAAAATATGCTAAATGCGAAAGTTGCATACTTGTATATTTTTATCCTACAGTCGGTTCACGTCACCCGCCTTTTAAATTTTAAACAAAAAAGTTTTATCACGTGACTTCGGAAGATAGTTTTATCTATTCTTTCGTTTATGTACTTATATACAATTTTAAATGTAAGCGAAAGGTTTATTTATTAATAAGAAATTGAATAATTTTGATGTAAAGTTATTGCGGCGCTAAACTTTCGCAATTCACACACGTAAATGTTAATCACTAAATGGCGATTAGTTAAACTACGAAATAATAATCTGAAAAAAATAAAAAATAATGAAAAATATTAAAACAACGAAATTAATGAAGTCATAGTATAAAAATTATATTTTAATCTTTGCCCCCATTCTTTTAAGTTTTTGACATAGATTTTGTTTTGTAAATTATATCGAACTAAACGATCATCGGTCGCTTGAGTATAAAGTTATGAAGTTAAAATTAATAATTTCGCGAGGAAAAAAAGGGAAATTCTCGTCATTTCTTGGTTTATTTGATTTTTTATATTTCTTTTCTTTGTTTCTTCTTCCAACTGAAAGCATTGAACAAAGTAAATCTTTATTTATTTTTAATTAAATATATTATTAAGAAATCATTTCCCGGGTCATCAAAAGGAACTTTAAAAAATAGAAACAAAAAAGTGTATCATAAAATTCTTCCACTTGTAAAAAACTATTAAAACATAATAAACTGAGACAGATATTATGAATTTGGAACATTTCGGGGTATCAGACTTTTTGAGAAAAAGAAGAAACAAGAAAATTAACATGAATAGAAATGGTCAATAATATTGAAATCGGCACCATCATTTGGTGAATAAGCAAGCTTAAATAATATATTTGTTCAATTCTATGAGTATTACTTCATATTAGTATAAAGAAGTTCACTGAAAATCAATAATCAAAATAATTGACGACTATTATAAGCATTATAATTATTTTTTTTATTTCTTTTTCTTTTAACGACTCAGAGAGTTAATTTTTTTATTCGTAAAGATAATACAAGTATTATGCACATTATAATTATTATTATTTTTTTTTTTTTTTACTTTGGTTCTAGCGATCGGTACACATTATAATTATTTTTTATATATGAGTATGAATCCATATTAAGTCGTGTAACATTTTTTTTCGTCGTCATAATAAATCAACTCGCCATTCGTTTAATCAATACAATTAATTGATCGTAAAAATTTTTTTGCACACAAAGATTCAATAATATTTAACGGTGAAATTAATTTTTAATATATAAAAAAATGACGATTTTTCACTGAAATCTCGAGCTCAATGTCAGTTTTACTATATCACCTGTGGTGATAATTAGAAATTTCCTTATTTGTCGCAAGAAATAAACGTATTATAAATATATATTTGCTACGAACAAATAGACTTATAAGCTTTCTTATTATCGATTAAAAAGGAATCAAAAAAAAAAAATTGAAAAATTTATTAAGTATATTGGAAGGAATAAAAGTTTATATATAACTATTTTAAAGAATTTTCAACAAAAAAAAAAAAAAAAAATATTCCAATTTACAAGATTCTAAAAGTTCAATTCAAAATGTATCATCAACAGGTTTTTTATATCTTTAGGGGCATTTTTTAACTACACTAAAGACTTCAATTTCTTCGATAGGTAAACAAACATTCTTGTAGTTATCAATATTGATTACATTATTATAAATTTTATTGTTATTAAGATGCAGCATTTGTCTGTTAATAAATAAATGATTCCCAAAATTAAAGAATATTCTATTGTAATTCTCATACACAGAATACATCGTGTTAATTACTCGGCCAATTCTCATATTTTGCATGTCCTGATCATTTTCAAAAGAAAAGATGAAACTATTTGATGATGTTAACCATTTCCCTTCTCCCGACCAATGTCCCCTTGATGCATAACCAATTGGGTTATAACCTCCATAAATTCTATTTGATTGAACTTTTATCAATACCACGAAAGGTCCTTTTAGATTACACTTATTATTAAATGTCATACAATCTAAACCATCCCGACTTTTTGTGTAAATCAGATTAAACTTATACCCATTATTAAAGGAAAGAACGTTTGAATCTTTTTTATCGATCCAATTACATATTACAGACGCAAGTTTTGGTTTGATTATTGTCGATGCTACACGAGGCGCCAAAGTTATCATTTTCGGTAAATTACCTTTATGATGAAATTCGGCAATTTCTTTATACATATGGCGAGGAATGATAGCTTCATAAGGATGAACTTTATTCAAAAAATCAGCACGAGAAATTTCAACAAACCGAATAAGTGGAATGAGTTGATTTAACGTTTTCTTCAATGCTTTAAAATTTTCTTGATTCCATTCGACTCTATTGCTATTCAATCCAGGGGTCTGTTCAATACCCCATTTGATTAAACAATCCCAAACATCAATTTCATCAACCTGTAAATCATCTCTTTTCAGCAACCCAAATAGAATATCACTATCCAGTAATAGAAAGTTTTTCGATGTGATAAATGGATGTGGATCTGAACAAATTTTTTCAAGACAAAATTCTTGCAGTTTCTTGCAGCTAGCAAGCTTAAATACTGTATGAAGTACCAACACAAAATTCTCTTGAACCCAACTAGTCTGCTTTTCAATCAAGTAATCTTGGATATGTTTAAATAATTCCTCAAGGAGTAATTCATCAGACGCAATTAACAATCCTAAGATTTCTTCATCAGACCGCTTGGTTAAATTTAGTTCACCTGTGTAAATATACCTTAAAATGGAATCATTAATTTTTAGTAAAACAAAATCATAATTTAAATAAAGTTGTACATTTAAAACGAAACCTACTTTAAAATCATGTCAAAAACAGTTGGGTTAATGTTTGGCTTATTAAACAAAATCATATCATCTTTTTTCGTAATCCAACTAGACGAAAAGGCACTTTTGAAGTATGGGGAACGTGCCCGTAAAATCACTGAATGTACCCGGAATTCTTTGGTATTTTGTTTTTCACCAACTTGAATAATTACATTGAAATCATCGGCATCATTTAATATTAACGAAAGATCTTTTGATAGACCGGAGTAGAATATTGATGTCATTTTATTTTTTAAAAGAAAAGGGGGGAGGGGGAGGAAGAAAGAAATGGAACTTTAAAACCGTGAAGTTTCTCCCAAACATGATAGATATACTTGCGTTAAAACCTGTTTTGATTTAATATGGATATGATTTTCAATATGGTGAAAATCAATGAAGACAAATTCGAATTGGATCTGCGGTTCTTTGTACATGGATCGATATTTTGTATGACAACAAAAGTATCATTCATATTGGTGTTCTCAAAGCAGAAATGTTATTTTTTGTAAGTTTACGACGTTTTCCTAAGATGCAACTATTTAATTTAGATCTCGGTCTTTTTTAATTTTCTGTACAAACCACATTACTTTATTGAGAGAGTCAAATTAGTTGCTACAATAAAAGCTTATACCTCAAGTTCTATGAGAATACAATAAATATCTTCGGAAGTTCATAATCTTCTTCAGATTGGTTGTCATCGAAAATCTAGACAAAATCTATTTAAAGAAATCTATTAGTAAGCTCTAGTAACAAGCCTATATGAGTGAGTGTATTGGGATTAACCCACCTACTTGAATTTGTCCTTTGTTCATCAGTCAAATACAGTTCAGAGTAGAAATGTTTTATGTCCCATATTACAGTTAAGCATTCCTGATCAGTAATTGCGGGTCAGTTGAAGTTAGGGTAACTTAGGATCAGTACCTTAATTAGCATTTTTTAATCTATCAAAAGCTGTTGTTTAACATCCCAAATAAAAAGTTCATCCTTCTTTAGTAATGTAAGCATAGGTTGGATAATCCTTGAAAAGTTCTTTATAAACTTTTGATAGTAAAAAAATAATCTGAGAGCAGCACAGAGTTGCGTAAGATTCGTTAGTTTTAGAAAATTCTTTACTTTAATAATCTTTTTGAGGTCAGGGCAAATTCCATTTTGTTCTACTACGTATCCTAAAAAATGGATATTTGGTAAACAAAAGTAATATTCTTTAACTTAATCTTTAGGTTTACATTTTGAATAGCTTTGAATACTTAGCATATATAGTCTATATGCATTTTAAAACTTCCTTTTGAGTAAATTATTACATCATTTAAATTAAAGATGGCGTTGCAATTAGTTGCAACCATGTGATGCTTATTTATCACCAGTTGCAACTAGTTGCAACTCAATTTTTATTAATGTTGCAACTAGTTACAACTCTGTAATACTTATTTGTTACCAATTGCAACTGGTTGTAGTGCTATCTTTAATTTAAATAAACGGCTACAAAGTCTTCAAGAAATTCTTGTAAAACTTTGTTCATCAATTGCTGAAAAGTTCTTAGCATATAATTTAACCTGAAGGGTATTATCAGAAATTTGAATAATCTGAATGGTATTATAAAAGTGGTTTTTTTATATCTGCTTTATTATGGCTACTTGCTAATATTCACTTGCTAAATCTAACGTGATGAACCATTAAGTAGCTCTAAAGCTTTCCAAAAAGTCATCAATTCTAGAAAGAGAATAAATATCAGCTTTAATAATAGCATTTAACTTACGATAATTGATGCAGATCATTTTATCACTACCTTTCTTATCTACTATTACCACAGGTAAAGCCTATAAACTTGAATTCTTTTAAACTATTTTTTATTTCTCTATTTTAACGATTTCTTATTTAAGGAATTCCTGATTTTTAGGATTAGTTCAGTAAGGTATTTGTGTAATAGATATAGAATCTTTGGTCAATATCTGATATTTAATAAGATTAATTTATCTGATCTTTATCTGACTTTTAGCACAGATGTCAGAAAATTTGTCAAAAAAGTTTGAAAGAGTCTTTATTGATAGTAGTTAAGAAATCCAGTCTGATTTATAGATATGAGTTTGTTTTAAGTGGCTTCAGCTAAAAATATAACCAGATTTATACTTTCACTATTCATTGAGTCAGTATTATCATCATGCTTAGTTTTAGCTTTAAAACTTTCTAAAAAGTAGAAATTATCTACAGATTAAATTCTAACTCATTTTGATTAGCCAAATCTTTCTCAAAGGAATTAGAGAAATAAATCAGTATTTTTTTGAGGTGTTTCTCTTTATAATCATTTTTTGGAACTTCTTCTAGTTCATTATAAATCATAATATTCAAAGTTTTTATAAAGGTAATCAGAATTCGAATAGTGGTTTGTTCCTTCCTGATCATTAAAATAGATTTTTTTTAGTCCATATTAGCATTAGAGTTTCTAAGCCAGTCATTTCCTAAAATTAGGATTTCATCTCAGAATTCTAAGATTTAAAAGGAAGTTAGAATATTGATTCTTCTTATTACTACTGAAACATTATCTACAATCCCTAAGGAACAAGTTCTAGCTCTATTTACTGTAACTACGATTATCTTTAAGGTTTGATTAATATCATAATCCAATTTATTTAACAAGACTTTCATAATTATGCTTGTGGTTATGCTGCTATCAATTATAGTAGTTTAGGCTTTTCTTCTGATTCAGAGAATACATTTAACTGTAAAAGTAGACTTATCATCACTTTCAGCTAAATTAGCTTTCTTGGATTCTTCAAAAGCTTTTTCTTTAGATCTCTTTATAGCTCTGGTTAAACTAAAATGGTAGTTTGGTATAGTATGAGTGGCTTGTCTAACTGATAACTTGCATAGAAGATTCTGGAGATAAATGGCAATATTAAACTCCATTAATTATTTAATCAAAACTGCCATTAATCTTCTCTTGATATTTTTAGAATTATTCAGAACTTCAATTTGTATCAGAATATGATTATTTATTTGCACAAATTTTTTTGTAAAATTTAGTATAACAGTCAATTTGAAAAATTTTCTAAGGTTTTCTTCTCTTTAAGACTCTATATATTTAAACCTCTGATTTTTTGATATTAGGTTATCAGATATGATTTTGATCAGGTATTCAAGTAAACTTTGTATTTTTCATTCTCATCTATTTTGTAATTATAGTTATCATGGCCTTTATTAGTATATTGATCTACCAAATGCATTTTCTAATTTTCACTTAAATAGGATCTATAGTTATCTTAACAATATTATCTTAATTAAATATAATTCTGCGTAATATATCCTAAAGCATTATAATTATAATAAGTAAAATCAGTAGATCCTATATTTTGAGGTCTATAATTACTCATATTCTGTCTGTTTTTTTCATAGAATCTGTGACTAGGCTAACATCACAGAAGACAAATTAGCATAATTGATGGTAAGTTATTCCAATTTTTTTATCAATTCATCTATCTCATTATTAATCATAAAAGTAGATTTTGATTGCATAATGTTAGAAGTTGGAGGAGCTATACAGTCTCTAGCAAAAAGAATGGTGGAAAGTTTTTTTTGAATAATAAATTTTTTAATAAATAACTTTCAAAATTTTTTTTATTCTCAAATGCTTTTAATTAAGAAATTATACACTCAAAAAATTAAAATATAAAAAGTATTCTCCTTCTCTGTCAATCTGGATTTAAATACAAGTTAAAATATTAAAATATTAGAAAGTTGATCTTTTTCATATTAATTTAACTTTATACTTTCTATTTTCTACTTTTTTAGTTAAAATATATTATTTCTATTATAGAATATTTAGCGAATATTTTTTTATTAGTGGATAAAGTTCATTAACATAATAAAATATTTTGTAATCTTAATTTTAATGATAAAATACTCAAATTTGACCTTATTTCACAATCACAAAAATTTTATTCATATTAAAATATGCATTGCGAACTTCAAATAATACACATAGAATTTGGACTAGTAATACATATAAAATACTATATAATTGTTTATACAAATTATTTAAAAAAAAGTTAATTATATATTTAAAGATTGCATCGCCATTCTTTTTGCTAGGGACTGTACTTGTATTACTTGAAACTTTCTAGTAGTAAAATTATAGTCAATTTTGATGTTTTGGGTAGCATTTACTATTGTTGCTAAGTTATTTAGATTCTGTGCATATACTATCAGGGTTTAAGCAGGATTCAATTCTATAAGAAACATTCATTTCTTTTATATATTATTATCAATCTTACTTTATCTGTTAATTTTCTGAATTTATTAATATACGAATCTACAAATTTATCAGTCTGTTATCATAGATTGGTTAATTCCTAATATCACTAGTTTCTTTAAATCTTATTGATAAATCAGATGTTAAATAAGTCTACAAAATTAAAATTATTATTTATGATGGTAGCCTAATTATTACTTATCATTACTATATTTTCTTCAAATCAGTCAACTGTAGCTTCTTTTAAGTATTCTCTAGCTATAGCTTTTTTCTTAAAATATCAATCCATTGATTGATAGTTGCTGCTTTTTCAAAGGTAGCCAGCCATTCAAATGGATCTTCTACCTTAGTATTATGAAAGTAATCAACTTTTACTGTATTCATTCTATTTATTTTAATGTATTTAATTAAATTCTATCTACTCCAAAGTTTCCTTTGAGAGCTTTCTTATTTATTCACCTGTAGCTACTATTATTGCTTCTGAAAGTAGAGTAGTAATTGGAGTTGTTGATAAGCTAGTTGCAGAGGGTATTAGAGAAGTAATTAATTATCTGAGTAATTGTTAGTTTTTTTAAATCTGTATTAAATCCTATATTTAGATTTCTATATATACTTTTAATAAAATAGATAAATCAACAGGTTGTTAGAAACAATTTGTTTCAAAAGATATACTTTAGATATACAAATATATTACGTCTGATAAAAAGATATAGTCCTATATTGAAGACTAGAGAGTAACTAATAAATTATTTTATCAATCAGCTATTATGATATTCTTATACTAGAGTATTACTTAATTACTTAAATAGATTAAAGGTTACAACTGATAGTACTGTATAAATTTCAGCTCGATATTCATAATAAAACTAATTCTAAAAATTTTGAAAACTAATTAAAAGTGTATTAAATGAAAGGGTGGATAATACCAATTACAAGTATAGTCTTCATTAAGAGGAAATTAGAATAATGCCTAATAATATGCTTAACTGTATTTCTCTCAATTGCTTTAAAATTCATATATCTTGCTTTTTTTTACTGTTCATTATATATAAAATTAATTCTATTTTTCAATATTTCTTTTAACTCAAATTTTTATATATCTTACTAAATCTGTTAGTGATCCGTTATGTATAAAATCAATAGTAATCTGGCAGGAATTACCACTTGTTAATGTTATTCTTTCATCAAATAAGTTAACTATAATTTAAAATCAGAGAGACAATAGT